TTTTCTTTCTTATGTTGTTTGTAACTGCAATTAGCCCTCGGGCAAGTATTTGCAATAAACTTTCTTTATTATTATTAAAGACTGTATAGATATTAGAAACCCCTCCAATGATTGTAAAAGTTCATACCTCATGCTATAGCTAGCCACCCACTCTTGTATTAGTTATAGGATAGCCTTACGAAAGTGTAGTAGTAGTACATGTAGTAGTAGTAGTAGTAGTAGTACTACAGGTAGTAGTAGTAGTAGTAGTAGTAGTAGTAGTAGTAGTAGTAGTAGTAGTAAAATTTATGTAAAATGCACATCTAAAACGTTTTGCGACGCATTACTACCGGTACTATACCTTGTAGTTGCAATGCAGAAAACTGAAGATGAAATTATATATTACGTGTGAAATTTTATCACCAGTGTTAATAGGTAAGTATTTGTGTTTATGCAGACTGACGACGTATTGATATCATTTACAACCATGAAACCTGCGAACGAAAGAAAGATAATATTCTTTGTAGACTGGCGAACAGTGAAATAATCGGTTTTTGAAGACACCAGCCACCTCACAGTGATTCTTGCTTTAACACGTATAACCCGCTATCGGCAGTCAATATCGGGTAACTCCTGACGGGAAATTTACGCCGCGCTGTTCTGTGGTTTTCTGTAGCCTCCGCCAGGCCTTTCTACGGGAACACGGATGGTAGAATTCGGAAAGAAAAAAGAGTAAAATTGGCCAGGGGAGTCCGGCCGCGGGGAGGTCGTTTCTTTTCCCTGCGCGGCCAGTCAAACCTACAAGGCGGCCAAACTCCCCTGGCAAATATTCTCCTATATGTAGCCAGTGTGCCAGGATCTGGGATTACTTGAAAGTTAGAAGGTAGATTACAACATCAGTTTGGAGACGGATGGAAATGAACTTTTAATATACAATAGACAAAATATACCACAAGAAAACTGTCAGTAACTGAAGAAAGGTAGTGGATGCTACTTGAAACATCTGACGGTTTCCAAAACCTTGAGTAACCGTTTTCCTGTGTATCTCATTACCTGGATGTCTGACTTTCATAGATGAACGACAAGATGTTTTTGTATAGTCTGCTATTGTCTCGTGCTAAACTGCTGGATTGGCGTACCGACTTTTGGAATCGTGAACGGGGCGTAATCTTGCCCAAATAAGTACACACAAGCAGCCAGAAAACTGTGCAAATCAGCCAAAAACAACGCCGCAGAAATTCGCCAACCATCTAGAAGGCATGCACAGAAGAGTGTAATGTAGGTTAGTTTATATCAAAAGGTCCTTTACACCAGACAGAAGCACGGATGTCACCACGGGTGAGGCTCCGCGCGTCAAACCGAGAAAAAAACGCGCGAAATGTTGTCATCGCCTTGAGTGGTTCCCAAGTGCAGGTCTAACAGGAGTCAAGTTCAAGTCGACTCATCGTTATCTTTAAGCGATTTCGCACAGGTAGACAGTCTGTTGTTTATGCTGTGTGTGTTGAAAGTTTGGTGCGACCCTACAAAATGCCCCGTACTTTTTGTCTCGTCAGAACATCGTGTATCTGGAACAATCATCTGTGAGCTTCTGTTAGAAACGAGACGTTTCACTCAGCCAAGGTCAACGTCCGCTAGTTAGAAACGAACTTGACCTTCACAGTTCTTGCCTAGATCTTGTGGATGGCCTTGACTTTCGCACGTGCACGGAGGAAGATTCTTACTACTGTATATATACTAGTAGTCTCTGTGGATGGAAACAAAACTATCTCAAGACAGTCCATCATAAAGCATCACAAGAAAAGAGGAATGAATGAATGAATGAATGAATGAATAAATGAATGAACTTTATTGATCGACAGTTGTACATGGTACAATGTGTGGCAACAATGACAATATATGCAATCAATACAGTAAGTCTATTCTAAGAAACTAGAGATGAAGAAGGAGAGAATGAGACGGGGAGTGACAGAATGAGAGATTTTTACCGACTTCTAGGATCCGAACCCCCGTAGGACGGCCTGGTGGAGGCTAGTCCTCCCGAGGTTGCCCCCCGTGGCTGTCCAGGTGTTTGACCATGTGGCGGGAAGGTGCGGACTGATCCATCAGCGCGTGTCGCTCCGCGGTGACGGATGAAGATGGAAGAGATCGGACAAACTCCAGTAACCATGACAATATGGATCAATATGCAGTGTGTAGTATTCCCTACCCTAACCGCGCCTTAAACCAGGCTAACATGTACATGTGCACACGGTACAGGTTATAGCCTCGAACAGGCTCCGGAGGACCCTTACTAGCGTCCCTTCAGTCGTAATTTCCACATACTAGTATTGATTCTCGCTTCATCTGAAAAGTCGCCGGCGCAAACAGCGGACAGATTACTTCATTCATCATTCCTGAACAGCTCGCCGCTTTGTGAAGTATGAAACTTTGGCTTAGTGAATATGATTAACTGTGTATTAATCAGTTCATATTATATATTGTTACTACGTTTAATTATTTAATTAGTTTGTTAAATATTGTCACACACTCACTGTTTTATGTCTGTAATTTCTTTTGTAACTTGTTTTGTTGGGCTACTTTGGAAATATAGATCAGTTGTTTTAAACTGGTACCACCCTACTGTTTTAATTAAGATCGATCAATCAACAAATAAAGAGTTCATGGCAGCTCAGAAGAGGCTGGCAGGTTTTATTACAGATTTGTTTGTAGTTTATTTCCTGAGTTGTACCTGGAAAGCTCGTCCCCGAAAACGAAAGAAGAAATATATTAAACAGTACAGGGGCGTGGCGCCGTGTGCAGGTCATTGACCCCGTAAGGCTGGAGGCCCGCCAACAGTTATAGGCTGTTGGTAGATACGTTCTAGCACGGAAACAGTACAGTTATAGCACAGAGACATCCCCATAACAGCACACAAATAACACAGCGAGAGGCGCAGCCCGGTTTGTTGATTTCCGTGACTAGTATGAAAACACTTGATTTAGTTGTGGAATGACGGTTTGCCTGAACTTGGAGTTGTTACGTTGTGAACCCGTGAATTGGACACTTGCAGTTCATTTCACACAAAGAGAGAAATGCTGCAACCGTTGGGGGCTGTCCGAGCCCGTAAGCACGGAGTACCGGCTCTCCTCCCCGTCCTGTACGGACGTGAGTCGCCCCTCCGCCCGCCGGGGCCACACGTGCGCCCCGCTGGACAGGTAACGGGGTCGGGCAGGTTCTCTGGAACACATGTTCGCGCTCATCCGCACTACGGTTCGCAAAACACACCTCTCTGCTAGCCTCCGTAGCAGGCTTATAGAACTGGGGGTTTGGTGGTCTTCGGCTGTTTTCTGATTACCCCAGTTCTAAAATGGTTGGTAATTCAACCAGGACGGCTATGTTGTCAATATGCAATCAGTAAAATAGCACATAAAAGCTCCCAAAGACCCCCCAAACCACCAGTTTTTGGCATGCTATGGAAGCTACTTCTCAGGGCGGGTTAAACCGTGGAAACCTGCCAACCTGAGCTTGTTATGACGGCCGAGTCTTCCCGCAGGTTACCCGGATAACTTCAGCGGCTGTCTGCGGTTTACTCTTCCCGAGAAAAGCCGGTTGGAGGCTCGGGGAATGTAAGCCACAAACACGGAAAGGCTCCTCCTTAAAACATCGATACTAATCTCCAAACAGATCTTTTGGTGGCCACAATACAATATCAGATAGGCAAGACAATACCAAATTTGCAGGGCGGTACTACTATCCAATAGAGGGCGAAAAAGAAAATACCGGTACGAACAGCGAAAAATAAAACCAGATCAAAACGCCTAAAAACACGTCAAAAACTACCCAATCGAAGCCTAAACGCAAACCTCATGCATGGCCATGGAGAGTAGATATAGTAGATCGATCAGTTCTTTTGAGTCCAGCGCTGTTGAGCCGAGGTGTCCGCAGTGGGGCAGGCACAAACACACGGGAGTCCGCTGTTCCTCCGTCGGGAAGGTCTATACTCCAGTTTCCGTACTGGCAAACACGGTTTTTCTATGTACTAGAATACTTTTATAACACATGATTAAGATATTTAAGTTCCTAATACCTTTGTATTTGTGTGCCTGTATCAAATAATCTAGAGCAGTTTTAGAGCCCATATTTTGGATTAGTATTAGAAGTCCTGTAAATACAGTATGTACTTTACTACTGCTTCTCTATTTGTATATCTGTAGTTAGCCAGATAGGGCACGAATGCACAGTAAAAGATATCTATCTATCTTATTGAACTAATAAAGGGATCTATGTTTGGTGTAAAATAACCAGAAGCAAACAAAATACTGTCTGTGGTGATGTCTTATAAAGTGGTTTGTTTTATAAGATGTCTCCATTTCCATCAACTAAACCTTGCACCGGCACAAGGTAGTCACGAAGTGGCACATAACACACAAAAACAAACAAACTACAGATATCCGACTTGATACAAGTAATGCGCGGTTATAAAACAGTAAGCCACTTAAACACTGTACACACAAATTAGCCCAGGCTCTATTGTAGTAATCCACAAACTCTGTAGGCTCAGTAGGTAATACCTGGTTCCTGTAGTGGGAACTCTGCGGGTTTTCGGTGTTTGTATTTGTGATGACCGAAGTGACCACAACAAAAGTCACTCCTCCCGCCTCTGTGGTCATGCTGGGCCTACAGGTGTGATAAATTGTGATAAACACCATTTTAAAGTGATTAAACTCATCGTTAATGTGATAAACCCCACCTGACGTGTGATAACCCTTGTCTCTACCAGGCTTCGGGAGGCGGCTGTAAAGAGTAGAAATTGGCCAAATAGAGAGATAACATGCAGGGTGCGGCAAACTGTACTCTCTAGTGGACCAACTCCCCTGGATCATGGAATGTTAAAGTAACCTTCTCTATTTCGTCAATTTCTACTCTTTCCAGCCGCCTCCCGAATCCTATAACTCACACATTAAAAGTTTCCTGGGTTTAAATCCAGTGCTAACGGCTCGGGTTACATGGGTGTGAAACCTGACACCCCCGGGCACGCCTAGTGAAACCTGACACCCCCGGTGTGAAACCTGACACCCCGCGGCACGCGCAGGCCGGCGGCGCCCCGCCTACCCCCGTGCCGAGCAAACATGCCGCACCGCCCGGTCGTCAGCCGCACGGGCCCGCACCAGCCTGGGACAACACGGCCTTACACCACTAACTCCATGCTTACTACCCGTGATCACACACGGCCTGGAACGGGTTAACTTGCCGGCCAGACTGTTGCCAGGCGCTCCTCTGGGGGCTTAACCTCTACCAGGCTTCGGGAGGTGGCTGGAAAGAGTAGATATTGGACAAATAGGCAGGTCCGCTAGAGAGTACATTTTGCCTCAAAATGTACCCTCTCAGGCCGGCTAACTCCCCTGGTATACTATTCCCTTTCTTTTGGTAAATTTCTACTATTTTTCAAGCGATCCGTAGCCTGGATGCCAGACCCAAAGCACACTGGACACAAAATATCTCAGTGCACACTG